CAATGCAGCGTGCATCATGTCATTTGCTTGAAGACCATATGCCAAGGCCCAAAATGGATTATTTCCAAGTTTCCAAACTTTCTGGCTTTGGAATACCTTCTCGACGTAGAGGGTATCAAATGGACTGCAGTAGCCATATGGTATTATACCATGCCTATCAAGATTGAACGCTGTGTTCAGGGGGAACCGCGTCATGCACAAATTCGCAACATAGCGTGATTGCCTGGTTACCGAACATGCAACAGGTACAAGAGGACACTTAATGTTGAGATATCGACCTTGGGGGTTGACAAGTGCAGGGACGGACTGTATGTATTCGACATGATGCACTCGAGAGCTAGGGAGTGTATATTCCCAGATGAGGCGCTGGATCACGGGGTCCAGTTTCTGAAATTGTGGAAACATGTTACTCTTGTTGGGGGAGGACAGACACTTTGCGTGCTTTTGTGCTTTCGGAGACATGTTGACAGTATTTAGAAGCGACTTGTGACGATTAGTTGGTGTCGGGCGTGAATCGGCAGTTGATTAAGAACAAGAGAATGAAAAAGAGACAGGTATATACTATCTCGAGCGGAGGCACTGCCATTATTCATAAGTGAACAAATACTATTGTTGGTAAGCATTACCCAACCAGGGACTGTGAGTGTTCAGACACCAGTATTGAGGCTGGGCAGGGGGAACATTCAAGGAACTATTGAACACGCGGACTGGACAGTTGGACAGCCACCAAGTTTATGTTATTTGAACAAAGAGCCTCAAGCTTGTTTAGTGGTTCTGTCTACGCGAATGTTCACAATCATTGACTGACTGCTTTTGCCAGATTGAAGCAGTCAATAAACGCCAGTGCGCCTCATCTTTGTTCCGACCTGAGGTTTGTGAAGCAGTGACGGCTGTATCTACAAAACGCTTTGAATAGCGTCAATGCTGTCACATGTATCGCTAAGCGGAACTGCCATCTTACTGTTGGCTTGAGTAGGCAAGATATTGGTGCGCAAATACTGAGTGAAGCATAGGAGATGGCATAGTATTCAAGAACTTGGAAGGAGCTTCGCCTTAGTTTCTGTGCATCTTGTCAAGCTATAGAGTCGTCATTAAAAAGATTCATTCCCAAGCTCTGCATGGCCGTTAGTATATAGATAGGTATACAACAAGGCAAATAACAGTTTGAGTTGGTAGACCATCCACAGCATAGGTATCTTTGGGGTAGCATCATCATTTTGATTTGGATGCCGTCCCTGGCCGTGTTGCAACATGAGATAAATTATTAAGCGCCTGACCAAAGACAATCCTTGCCAAATTTCGTCTGGCAGGATCATGTTCCTGGGCGTTTCCTTTAGCGCTTACGCTTAGCAATTTGTCCAGCAACAGGAATTTGGGCAAATTGACAAATGTGGATTGGTTTAGCAAGGGTAGAACTAACCGATGCAATTCTTCTTCAAATGGGACATCGGAGCTGACTTAAAAGCCTCAAAACTCCGAGTCCTGCCACCATTTGGCAGGGCTGAAATGGTGGTCCACAACGAAAGATCCCTGTTTGAGGCTGTGTTATGAAACATGGAGTCGTGAATTTTGCCCACATTGTTGGTTTTCCATTAGGCTCCGAGTAGTCGGTGTGTTACTGCTTCGAGCACTGTAATATCTTGACTCGGCCAGCTGTGGCTATCTTACGCTTAGGATTCGGGCTGAGACCTGCTTCTGTCTACTTATCTGTGATGTCTTTGACGATGGCATGTTGGAGTCGTTTACTGCCATGTTCAGCGGGTCGCGAAAAGTTGCTGGGATCTCGCTCCTAGCCACGGCCAAGCCTCAAACGATCAATTTTGCCCAGTTTGAAGCCTCTACTCCCTGTCCACCTGTGACTTATAGCCCCCACTGTGATAACATGCATGGAGATGGGGTAGACAGACTACATTAATAAACATACAGCCTGCCCACTTCTCGGTCTCGCAACCATACGTCGTCTATTCTGTTGCGATTGAGGAATCATGGCCGAGAGATCGATACCAAAATCGCAGCCTCAGTACGAGCCTGTTGAATCGGAAGAACATGAATTGCGCCACCTAACACAACACGATGATGCTGATTTCGGTAGGGCATCAGCCAGCGGAAACAAAAATGCTGCTGTATTCTCCTCCGACAGTCTGGAGGGACAGTCCGGGAAGACAAACCCATCGAGTTGGAGACTGAAGACAATCTTGAAGAAATGGCGCATGCAGGCCCTCGAAGCATCGATCCGAAAGAAGAAGAACCGGCAGGTACCCATCGTCAAAGACCGTCTCACTGCAATATTAGCTGCTCTGGTTCATCTCCCTGCGATCGCTGGCATTATCACGTTGAGTTTCTACATTTTCAAGAACTACTACATCGGCAAGGAACTCGAAGGCAAGCCCAATTACGATGTCGAGAAGAAGCTCGGCATCCAATTTGCTGCGAAGCTCATGGAAATGTTCATCGTGCTGTCACTCAACGCCATCGTCTTTTCCATGATCCGACACGAGTTTACGATCGGTCAGTCTGTTCCATACGGCGCTCTGGTAGCTGGACAGCAAATATCCGAGATCAGCTTCTTGTGGTCCGAGGAGTTCTTCAGCATTGTCAAGGGGAAGTTCTCACAGACCTGGAAGAAGATCGGCTTCATAATTACAGTGTTTGTTTGCACAATCATGGCACTGGGCGCCTCTTCGCTCAGTGCTGTTGCCATGATGCCACAGGAGGGTGATTGGAGAGCGGGCGGCAGTTTCGTTTACTTCAATGGTACCAGAGATGAAATGTTTCCTCGAGTCCTGACGGAAGACAACACGATAGGATCTGCCTGTAATGTTACCGGAAATGAGCGCTGCCCTTCTTGGCAATGGGATGTCATCAACAGCCAGCTCATCTCCAAGCTGCCTCTATCAGGTGAAGTGGACAATGGCTTGTTCATCAGACGGCCACCGAGCGAGATTCTTGTCGCCGGATACTCTTCAACGCTGGTCAATCTCGTAGTGGATGTCAGAGAGAAATGGTTCAACCTGAACAGCCCGAACCATACCGTCGCCAGAATGCCGCATCTCGGGCCTGCTGAAGCATGCATCACAACGTCACTGCACTGGGAACAGGCTGCGGACGATTCGGCCAAGAGAAAGCAGACTCGATTCAACAACTTCCAGAAGCTTGCCCACAAGCTCAATGCACCGATGCCAATCACCAACACGAGATGTGAGCTGACGTCCGTGACCGATGCCAAAGCAAAGACAATCATGTTCCCCGACTTTGTGGCCTTTCCACCAACAACTCTTAACGTCACAAAGGACGTCGTGAGCGACTGGCTATCAGATACTCTGCCTGGCTTGAAGAAACCCGAAGTGCTGTGGTTTGACTCGGCACCAGTCATTGCCAACAGCTCTGTTGGTGTCGTGGTCGCTGTTCCGTCCAACAAGTCACGCGAGGCAGCTGATATTTACGGATGTATGATCGATGCACGGTGGATTACCACTGAGCTGAGTGGCGATGCAGTCTCGCTCGCCAGCAAAGGATACCCGCCATTCTCAGGGCCTATTGCAACGGCGCTTGGGGGCTCGTGGATCGGAAGCCCGGGTTACGGCCAGCGCGTCCATCTCGCACCGAGCTTCGCCCAATACCTTAATCCTGTTGATTCAAGAACGAATCGGACCGTCATACACGAAATGCTCCTCAACAGTGGCGTATGGACAAATGATGGCAAGGGATCGAAGTCTACGGCGCATCTGGAGGCGGTCCTTGGATCGTTGGCGGCTAACGGCTTGGGCCGATCAACTCCAAATATCACAGCCATTACAACCTTGGCTGATCCCGATGGTGAGTGGTGGAGAAGTTTCATGCCGCAGGATGGCCGGGTGTTTGGTCCTGGAGGCAGCCCATATGCTGTATCAGACGATGACAAGGCTCGATTCTTCAGCGCAGAGATGGAGACATGGGTAACCGGGTTCGCATTTGCTGACAACAGCTTGACCATGCGCGGAGCCATGGCCGTCTTTTACGTCTATGCACTCCTTGTCATGGCGTACTCGATCTGGTCGATCTGGTCAGGCATTACTTCATCTTCATGGGAGTCTGTGCCGGACCTTCTCGCCCTCGCTCTTGCGGATCGAGGATCGGGATCTGATTCCAAGGGATTTAGCAAAGGAAGCCCGGATATCATGAAGGAAAGCTTTTGTATTTCTGCAGATGGAAGTACGTTGAGGCTTAGGGCGACACACGGTCTGGTGCCGCCTGAGAACCGTGTCAAGGCCAATGAAGCCTACGACTGATTGACTGATTGAGTAGTAGATGAGACTGTAGGTGATGGAATGAGATTTGTTCTGGACGTGGTAAATGTTTATATGGCGTGTTGTCTCTTTTCTCGATCGTCAGTCTGAGACGTGTACGTCACAAATACGCTGGCTCCGCCCCCTCCGATTGGCGCCAGTTGGCTCATCACGTCGTATGTAAGCAGCTGAGACAGATGTTGCCCGACAAATTCTGTTTGACAGTCTCGCAATTGAATTGACATGCGTTCATTCTTTCATCACTTCCCAACCAAGCCAGACCCAGGCACCAACACACGATATGCACGCTGCTTGTTTTTAATCCTGTAGTGCTTAGTCTGTCTCTTTCAATCGACGCCCATCACCACTTCTCTTCTATCTTGTACAACCCTAGCCAATCGCGGACAATGCCTCAGACCGACCCCCAACCATCGTCATCAGCTCCTAGAACCGCTCCCTTGCGCACTCTGTTGCCAGCAGAACGAGGATCACAGCCGCTGCCACCGTCGCCTCAAAGACGCAGTGTAATACAGCGCAGGCTGAATCCTGTCTTGGCTGCTTGCGAGCCATGTCGCAAATACAAGGTCAAGGTACTTAGGCGCTTCGTATTCTGAGTGGGGTCTGACTGACCACCATCGTGAGTGTTCTGGAGACAGGCCAGCATGTCGTCGCTGTCTTCAGCGCAAACTCGCCTGCATCTATATTACGCGACCAGGCGAGACTCGCTCACAGGCAATGAACCGATGTTCTCACGAGACCTTCGAGGGCTCGAGCCAACGCTCAAGTGTCTACGAGGAACTCGTCGGGCTGCTGAAGAACCTACCTGATCAGGATGCCCAGGCTATCCTGCAAAGGCTCAGATCCGGAACAGACGTCGCATCAGTTGTCAATCAGGCCAGAGCAGGCAATGTATTACTTCAGATGGCCGTCGTTCCCGAGACGCGATTACGATACGAGTTCCCGTACAGATCGGAGATGCCCAAAGAGTTCGAGCTGAACAATCCTTATCTGAACTCAATGCTGTATGAAACAGCCTCTCTCTATTCTCAACATCAGATATCAGAGACAAACCTAACCGGCCATCTCGCGAGCCTGAGTTCCGAAGAGCAGAGAAGCCCTTACTTGAAGCCCTTCCATGCAGCACAAGTATTCGATCCTCTCCTGTCTGACGTCAAAGTCTCGGCGTGGACCAGCGTCTGTGACGACGACAAGCTCATGCGGGACCTCTTGACTGTACTCTTCCGTTGCGAGTACCATTTCACAGCAGCATTTCACAAGGATCTATTCCTAGAAGATATGGCAGCGCGTCGCAAAGACTTTTGTTCTTCACTCCTTGTCAACGTAACTCTTGCATATGCTTGCGTAGGGTGACACTCATAGTGGCATAGCCAAAACTGCTGACATGCTTACAAGGTCTGTTACCCTAATTTCACCAACCGTGTCGAGTATTGGAACCCGAACACTCTTGCTTATCGCTTCATTGCCGAAGCCAAGCGACTATGGGAGCTGGAGGCTTCTATTCCACGTATGACTACCATTCAGGCAGGTATCCTTTTTAGTGTGTTTCATAATCTCTGTGGGCTAGACGAAGTCGGGAAACCTTATAGGGTGCATGCTGTGGCTTTGGCCAACCAGCTTCGCATCTTCGACACCATCGACATTGCTGAGAGCAAGAGGATACAGAGGGGCACCGAAAACCTGGCCTGGGCTATGTATAACTGGGAAACGTGAGTGCCTTTTCACACCTGTGGCCGTGTACTGACAACAGGAGTCTCTCTGCTTTCTCTTTCATGCTGTCGCCGCTCATCAAGGAGCCACCAAGATGGCCGCTTCCAGATCCTTCAGAAGATCCGTCGTGGTATGGCGAAATATGGGTCAAGTACCCTTTGAATCACGGCCTTTCATCGATGTGTCTTGGGGAGGTTGTCCATGCTCGGAGCCGGTTCCGGATCATCATGAATGAGTTTTGCGACGCAGCATACTCAGAAGGTTCCAAGGTAGGAGTTAACCTGGCTTATCAGTTCCGCGGAAGGCTGGAAGAATGGTTCGAAAGCCTACCCGCATCTCTAAGTCCAAGGAGAATTGTTCTTCCTGGCCAGCTACAACTACAGTAAGTGCTTCATGTGCTGCCTTTCACCTTTACAGTCCAACGTGGCTTTCAATGTGCATGAAGTTAGTTGCTGAGTGTGTCACAGTATGTACTATCACCACTTACTATTGACGATCTTCGAGCCTCTTTATGATGCTGAAACGACTGGAGAGCCTTCTCCACAGCGTATCGTAGCTGGCTCGAAGAGAAACATGCAGACACTTGTCAGACTATACTACCTCCGGCATGGCTTTGAAGCAATGGACCTCTTCATCGTCGTCCCTCTGATGGTAATGGGTTACGATAGTATAGATGCCATCAAGGAGGATACGCCTACAGAAGAAATTGAGTTTCTACGATCGACTCTCATCCTGATAGCCCAAGGCCTCTACTACCAACGAAGAAATCACTACTTGGCGCAAGCACTTTTCAGAGTCATCCGAGGCAAAATGCGCCCCCAGGAGATTGGCTTGCTGAAGAGTTCAATGGCGCTGGATAGATACGAGGCTGATCCAGAGCCGGAGATGGCAGTGGCTGTTCGAAGCCACTGGCCAGTGAGCGTTGTTAAGAAGCGTGAGGACATGGAGTCACACATACTGACCAATCTCGTGGAGAACTTTGGCCGTGTCAATATTGAGGAAATTCCGTGATGTCTTTCGGGCTGAGAAGATGGATGGATGGCAGGGATTGGAGGTAAGAAGGACCTGTGTACACGATTTTAGGAAGTTCCATGCTTTGGCCATTGTAAATGAATAAGGCCTCTTTTCATTCATATATTGCCCTGGGGACTATTGAAACTGCGCAAAGTGTCGGCAAAGCAAGACAGAAGTCGCGCTAGCTGGATACACTGTCGACTAAAGTTTTGACGACACCTTATACTGACTAAATGGCTAGGTGGGGATATTTCCTTCCTTTCGCCATGGGAGCTTTGTTCACCCTCACTCGCCAGGTCAGATGTATCCGAGAAATTTGGGCAGCTTATGACAGAACCCTTTCAAGCACATCGTCGACGGCCTCCCTCTGAAGTCCGATTTCATGCAGCTTCTTAACCTCACTGACATCGACCTTGCTTTCAAAGTCTCCTCCACTCCCCTCCCGGAAATGAGTAAGGAAGAACTTGACAAATGGGGCAGTGGCATCTTTCTGCCGAATCTTGTCGTTGCAATCTCCCAGTGCATCATTCACATCCTGGTAGTCTATCTCCCAGTCCTGGTCCGCTGTCCCTCTTGCCTTCTGAACTGCTAGTAGGAGCTCCTTCTGGCTTAGATGAAATGATGGGACATAGAAAGCCTTGTTCTCATACCGGGACAAGTTTCGTCCAGGGAGGCTCAATACTGCAGCTGTAGCCTGGCCAGTCTGTGCAACACTCGACGTGTTGACCTTGCCGATAGCTCCCGTCCAAATCGTAGCTTTGCGTTTCTACACATCGATGCCCCAAAGACCACTTTTGATGTTCATGTCGAGGAACGGGCCGACAGCTACTGAGATCCAGCTGCTCACACCGAGTTCCTCAATCAGATCGCGGATCTTCTTCTTGTCTTGCAGAAGTTGGTTATCCTCTATCAGCTTTGACGCGAAAGGGTCTGGACCAAACTCTGCAGGTAGGATATATCGAACTCCAGCTTTCGCTGCTGCTCGGACTGCTGACTCTTGCAGACTGACGAGGTGGGTGAGAGGTGGCATGAGCACGACAGCATCGTGTCCTTGGAAGGTGTTCGCCTAGAAGGACTCGTCTTTCAGATCACCACATTTGACAATGACTTGGGGCGGAAACTTACTTGTTGCTTCAATGCGTTGGACAGCAGTAATGGTGTGAATGCCAGATGCGAGAAGAGCCTTGGCTGTCGGTTGTCCAACCTGGCCGCTGGAGCCGATAATGGCGATTTCGCGTCCCTGTGCTTTGCCTGACATGGGAGATTGAGACGGTTCTGCACGGGCTTGAACTCTTTAGCTTAAAGGCCGTAGCACGAGTACTTTGTTCTTTTCTCCTCTGATGCTCTAGGCGTATACGTCATTGATTTACGTTGTGTTTGATTTATGAAGTCGCGATATGATAGCAGTTCTGAACGCATTAAAGCAGGATAATTCAAGTCAAGGCTAGATTTACTGACATAGTCGACCAAGATGACCAACAATTGACAACTCGATAGAGTGATGATCAGAATAGGCCCCCCCCTTGAGAGGGAGTGATGGAGATTATTAATAAATATGATGGAGAAGCCTTAGACTACTTCTATGTCCACCATTCTGATGTGTACAGATGAGTACCATGCTGCCCCACCTTAACATGTGCTAACAGACATGCTGATGCCCCGCCTCGAGTCTGGTCTGATGCGGGGATGACCATTCGGGTTGATGACAATGCGTTAAGTCCGAACATGGTATAAAGGCCGATCCCATGAAACCTGCTTCATAGCCTTTGATCAGCTACAAATCTCCTTGCCTCGATACCCAAGTTTCTCAATCCTCAAGCCAATGTCTGATACTGCAGAAATGTCTCCAACCGACGTCTTCAGCACAGGCTCTACTGCATTGATCACGGGAGCTGGCTCAGGCATCGGTTTGGCCATTGCCAAAACATGCCGCAGTAAGGGCATGCGCACATTGCTTGTTGACAACAATGAGGAGGCTCTGGAGGCTCTGACTAAGACTCACTTCCCCAATGACTCAGACGTCGTTACCTCCAAGATTGATGTCTCATCGACCTCGGACTGGCAGGCGCTGAAGAAGCTCGCCTTGGACAAGTTTGGCAGTATTGAGTTGTTGGTCTTGAACGCTGGCAGAGGTCTTAGGGGCACCTGGGGAGATGATGATTACTTCAGAGATGTACGTTGTAAAATGCAATGGTGCGACAAATGCTAACAAACAAGACCCTTGAAACCAATTTATTCGGCGTCATTCATGGTGTAAACACATTTCTCTCCGTGGTCCAAGACGCCGCCAAGTCAAAGCCAACGAGCATCGTCATCACTGGTAGCAAGCAGGGTATTACCAACCCACCTGGAAATCCAGCATACAACGCCTCCAAAGCTGCAGTCAAGACTCTTGCTGAGCATTTGAGCTGGGACCTGAAAGACGCAAGCACCAGCGTGCATCTGCTTGTCCCTGGTTGGACTTTCACTGGTCTAGTAAGAAACCGCTGCTGTGCTTAGGTTAAGTGACTGACAATGCTTAACAGACAAGAGCAACGCCGGGTGGTTTGAAGCCAGCTGGTGCTTGGACAGCGGAACAGGTGGCAGATTATCTGTATGAGAAGATGGGGAAGAACGAATTCTACATCATCTGCCCCGACAACGATGTTACAGAGGAGCAGGACAAGAAGCGTATTACTTGGGCTGCAGGTGATGTCGTTCAGAGACGGCCGCCTCTGTCTCGATGGCGTGAGGAGTGGAAGCAGGAAGCTGAAGAAACCATGGCCAAGATGGATCTCTAAGACGATGGGACTCGAAGTGGTGGCCAATTTACAAATAGACAGTCTCCCATGCCGTCAGTGACTATCGAATGAGCTATTCTGTGCCTAGTGTGAATCAACTGAGTGTTCAATTGATAGTGTATCCTGCAGTCCAGCATGAGTCTGCGATATCAGCCAGTAGATCATCTTCCAACTCTGTATCATAGATAACAGAGACTCATGAGAACGCCAACCAAGGGGAGCCCCACAATCCAAGGCTCTCATCATGGACGACGCCGCAGAGTCTCGTGAATCTGCCAAAAAGTCAAAAAGTTCACCAAACTCATCCTGATGAACCAACCATCAAAAGGTTCGATACACCAGGGACTCGAACCCTGAGCCTTAGTCTTAGGAGGACTACGCGCTACCATTGCGCCAGCGCACCGGAGCTATTTTTAGAGGTATTTGTGTCGTATTTGTGAATATGTTGATGTGATGCTTGGAGTTTTACGTTTGTGCCACCACGTCAAACTCGGACCTCAAATTGGAGTTTGCAACCGAAGAGTTGCTGATAACGAGTCAGTTTTAGCCATTCTGGACTCTTGAATTAATTCTGTTTATTTAATGCTGATATTGAAAGTCATGCGTCTGCTGTCGAACTCCACTGTGGACCGAGGTAGAAGTGGCGTGGAGCCTGCAGCCAAAGCATTGATCAAACCGAGAAAGCCAATACTTGAAATGAATTGAATTGAAGCAGTTGACATTTGTCAGTTTGACAGCTCCAGTATTTCATCAAGATTGCATTCTCTCAATTGTGGCAGGCAACTCTTCCATCCCCTCCAGAAAGGCACCAAACTCTCCCTTCACCTTGTCCATATCCTCATCAACATCGTCCGTCCAACGATGAATGTAAATCGTCTTGATTCCGACATTTTGAGCTCCTCTCAGATCATATGCGTGAGCCGCAACCAACACAACTTCTTCAGGCTTAAGCTTGACGAGTCGCAAAGCCTTGTTGTACGCCTCGGGATCTGGCTTGTACGTACCCAACAGTTGGCTGGAGAAGAGCATGTTGAAATTGAGCCCAGCGAAGCGAGTTAGGTCGAGCTGCAGGCGTGTTGTACCGTTGGCGTGAACAAAGACTTCCAGACCAAGATCTTCTCGGATCGACTGAATTGCCTTTCCAACTTCTGGCCAAGCTGGCTGAGAATGCCAGGCAGTAATCAATTGTTGTTTGATTGGCGCATTGAAGTGCTGCTTATACTCTGGTGAGTCTTCCAGCACGTTATCAAGCACGCGAATGAGCGTGTCGTCTATATCTTCGGGCTCAAGCTTTTGGGCAAGGCGCTCACTGTTGGCGATGAAGTAACGTCGCCGCCATTCAAGAGCGAATTTGGAGGCTTCGGCTTTGGGGATAGCTGGGGGTAGAGCCTGCACGACACTACTGTGCCAATCAAGGCATGTCCCCATGAAGTCAAAGAAGACTGCTTTTATCTTCGTTGGCCGCGACATGGCGCTGAAGCTTTTCTAATTATTGCAAGATTGCCAAGGCAAGTGGAGAGAATTTAGCATATAAATATTAGAAGTGCTGCACATGTTTGCTGAAAATGCTCGCTTATGATATGACGTGATTAGAAATCATGAAAAGACCTGCTTATTTCGCTCATGGTGGTACGCCCTTAAAATGATTGGTTACATCATAAATTGTGGTCTGTCAGTCAGCTCAAGACTGGCACAATAGGATCAAGGATTTGGAACAGCATCAAAATTGTCAGTAAATCGAGACCTCATTGGACTTGAGTCACAGGTCTATCGATTAACATAATTTCCACATGAATGAACTGTACATCCACTTGTTTATTATGAAGAGTTCAGCTAGACCACCCTGGTAGAAATAAGCTCATCCGCTTGCAAGAACTGGAGGTAGAGACAGCTGGTGGTTCTTGATGATAACATCCCATAGTGCCGATAACTCCCCACTTGGAAGTTTGTCGTCCTCCTTGATCCTTCGAATATCATGAAAGAAATTATCTCCCTCGGCTCTCAAAGTCCTCGGTATCGTCTCCATGTCAGGGAAGTTGAAGAAGGCCACAATCGACACCTTGACCTCATTCCCACTGATATCAACATCGTGAAAAGTCGGGATAAACTTATTGGCCCAGCGGTAGAGCGTTGAGCCACCCATCATGATGGTACCTTGATGTCCAGGAAAGCGCACGGTTCCATCGAGATCATAGACCCGAAGTCCTGGCCCGTTTGTGATGAGGGCAGACAGCAGATTGCCATCTGGATGAAGGCCAATGCCGCCTGGAGCACCAGCATGAGGCGTGTACTTGATAGCTCGATAGCGAACCGTGCATCGCTGCACCAAATCAGGGTCAATACCAACAGCCATGCTAGTCGTTACCAAAGCGCTGTCGAGGGCAGACTTAAGACAATGTGCCGAGTTTCGAGTTCTCGAATCATGCAACGCTTGAAGGCCCGTAAGGCCATCTTTAAGATCGCCATCAAATTTGGCAATGTCTGCCTCAGAGTCCAAGAAAGGATGGCCAATGCCCTGACTGGCAAACCAGCAGGACTTGCGCCATACCACTTTCTTATCAGTGCCCTCGTAGGAGAGTGAGGGATCAAGATTGCTCAGGTAAGAGCCGAGGTCTTGCATTGCTTCTTCAATGCGTTGTTCTTCTTGGCTTCCCCAGGGGACTACATATTCTTTACCCGCCTTGAAGGCAGTCTGGATGGCATGGCTTTCTTTTGCTAGTTGGACGTCAACTTTCTGAACCTCAGTAGGAAGTTTATGCACTGCCTACACATTGCTCCCACTTGAGAAGTGATTGGTTGATCGAGGCTGGCGAGATGGCTAGAGCCGGGTGTCACGGAATCGAACATAGACATGGTGGTATTGGATGTGATTGAGGGAAGCATGTATGTCCTTTGACGTCCAGCAGATAATTGTTTATGTAATTCAGCTGGGCCATGCTCACCGTAATCTAGCATCACTCCGCCAAATTTCACTACCGTCTCCGTCCTAATGCGTGTCTCACTGCATTCGTCTTTCCACTCCATACACTTTCGGCACAACGCTACACCGCGACGATCGTGGAACTATACTGAACTGCCGGGTTCCCTTAGTCACAGATGTCATTGTGCAGCTACATACATGTCTACCCTGTGTACCGCGAACCCCGCCTTCGGCGTTTCTTACTGTGCAGCCTCGGCGATCTCATCAAGTACCACGTCAATGCTATCCATCGTCAATGACCTTATGTGTACATCCCTGCTTTTGAAGAGTTCTGCCAGTCTTGGGCAGTATGTTTCTAAGCCCTCTGCTAATTGTGCTCTGGACAATGCCTGTCCATTATCTGGTAATCCGTATTGAAGTAACCAAACTTGTTTATCTGGAAGGTCGTTGTTAGCTTTAGATAGTCTGAGATTGTGTCTCTCTTACGCTCACCACTTCTGAGACTCATCTCCCATTCCCATCGATGAATGTCATCTGGGTTCGTAAACCTGTCCCAGTCGCCTGGGGCAGCGAGAATGATGATTTGAGACACGGATTAGAATGTATTGGAGATGCTCTTGGTCACTTCTCCAGCTTCGGTACTTCTCGTCATCTGGTGTTGGTCAAGCCATATGCGACAGCTCTTCTTTTCGATCATCTCAGCGACCAAACGCGCCAT